CTCTCTCTCTCTCTCCCCCCTCCCCCTCCCTCCCCTTCCTTCCTTCCTTCCTTCCTTCCTTCCTTCCTTTATATAGGAATGTCAACTTTCAGATTTCTCCCTTGCTCCGTCTGGAAGGCAATGGCAAAGGGAACTGACTCCATCATTCTGTTAATTCAGCCTTGCCTCTATGAACAACGTTGTACAGTAGAGTTAAAGCACCTGCTGCCAGCTGAGGAGATTAGTGCTATTTTGCTCACTTCTGATTGACCACTGGCATAGGATTGCTGCATGCATCCCTCGCCTTAGAGAATTAGCAGCAGAAAAGCAATAACAAGACTATCCTGGGACTGGAGGGGAGCAGCAACAGCCTGAAACAGGTAATAAGTGCAGGTGTGATCACACCTGTTTCCGGTCACTGACAAGGTCTCCAGTGCAGTGGGAGAAAAATGTAACAAATTGGCCATACTTTAAACAGCTCTTGAAGGGTGCTGGAGTAAAGGCGACAATGCTAGTTTTAATATTGATACAGCGAAAATTAACTAAACTTGTCTTATTTATGGGCTGGGGACAAAATAAAGGAAACGTTATTGGGATGTATCATTTAGGTGAGATGGGGGAACACATTCTGAATTCAGCACCTTTGTACACCCCATCTCACCTAAATGATACATCCCAATAGCAGATTTAACAGATTAACAGAGTCGGAAGGGACCTTATAGGTCATCTAGTCCAACCCCCCCTCAAGCAGGAGACCCTATACCATTTATGACAAGTAGCAGTCCAATCTTTTCTTGAAAGTCTCAAGTGATGAAGCTCCCACAACCTCTGAAGGCAAAACTGTTCCACTGGTTGACTGTTCTCACTGTCAGAAAGTTCCTCCTCATTTCTAGGTTGAATCTCTCCTTGGTCAGTTTCCATCCATTATTCCTTGTCTGGCCTTCAGGTGCTTTGGAAAACAGCTTGACCCCTTCCTCCTCTCTGTGGCAGCCCCTCAAATATTGGAACACTTCTCTTCACTAGACTAGCCATGCCCAGTTCCTGTAACCGTTCTTCATATGTTTTAGTCTCCAGCCCCCTAATCATCCTGGTTGCTCTCTTCTGCACTTTTTCTAGAGTCTCAACATCTTTTTTATAGTGTGGTGACCAAAATTGGTTGCAGTACTCTAGGTGTGGTCTTACTAGGGCTTTATAGAGTGGTATTAGTACCTCACTTGATCTTGATTGCATCCCTCTGTTAATGCAATTTAGGATTGCATTGGCTTTTTTAACTGCCGCTGCACACTGTAGGCTCATATTTAGCTGATTGTCCACTAAGATTCCAAGATCCTTGATTTTAATTAATTAATGAGTGAATGAATGAATGTGCCAGAAAAATGTTGTCAGAGAATGTTTGGGATATAGATTCTCTCTCTCTCCTCCTTTGAGTCTTCTTGTGTTTTTGTTGTTTTTTTTTTAAAATTGGTGACTGCCTGGACCAGTTCCTGAAATTTTCTTGGCAAGATTTTTGGAAATGACTTGCTCTTGCCTAGTTCTTCTGAGACAAGGACTGGCCCAAGATCACGGCGCTAGCTTCATGCCTAAGGGTAAGACTAGAACTCACAGTCTCCAGTTTCTACCTTGATCACTTAACCACTACACCAAACTGCCTCTGTAGCTTGGCCTATGTGAGAAAATCCTCTAAGTTAACCACAAACCAGATAGTTTAAGGTGTGAATGCAGTCAGTGACTCTGGTACCAAACTTCCAAATATAAAATTTCTGCTTGCTAAATTTGGATGATTTGATGTGAGTGGATTAACCTAGAATCTGAAAGAAGGATTTCGTCCTATGTTCTTAAATTGCTACATTATAAAAACCTATCAGGGAGTATTTATTTATTTAGTATATAGCAATGTTACATTAGCCTGCACTGCCTAAGTCTGCTAGCTTGTTCTGTTCATGCTGATGGGCTTTCCAAGGTGCACTATAATGAGTAAATTTACTCAGTGAATAAATTCTGATTAACTCAATGGGGCTTGCTTACTAGTGTATGGATATGTAAAGACTGCACTCTCTGTGCACAACTTTGGTACCTTGCAATGATGAAGCAACTCCAACTGCTCAGTGGAACTCCGTGACGCATGAAAACAGAATTCTGTTTCCATTAGCTTTAGAAATGCAGACGTATGTATTTATTTATTGAATTTATATGACACCCATCTCACTATCTTTTAGTGACTTTTAGTGCATCATTTTGCACTAGGACAAAAATATGTTTCATTGAAGTTAGTAAAACCTATTTCCGGGTAAAAGTATAGAGGGTAATTAAACAATGTTTCTCAACTTTAGCAATTTTAAGACACTGGGACTTCAATTCCCAGAATTCATAGCTGGCTGGGGAATTCTGGGAGTTGAAGTCCATGTGTCTTAAAGTTGCTAAACATTAGGGCAGGGATGTCAAATTCAAGGCCTGGGGGCTGGATCCAGCCTGCGGGGTGCTTAGATCTGGCCCGCGGGGGCACCCTGGAAACAGCAAAGGGCTGGCCCACTGTGCTGTGCCAATGAAAATGGAGCTTGGGAGGGCAGCCCACCCAAGCTCCGTTTTTACTGGCAGAGGGCTGCAGGAGGCCATCCCCACAGGCGCCCCCGACACGAGTGACTTGAAGCTGGTCACACCCCCTGGCCACCCCCCCTCCACCCCCCCCCAAGGTCAAGCACAACCCTGATGCGGCCCTCAATGAAATCAAATTTGACATCCCTGCACTAGGGTAATACATTGCTGAGGGTATCCTTAAGGGAGATGGGTGGTCTAGAAATACAAAATACAAATAGATAGATAGATAGATAGATAGATAGATAGATAGATAGATAGATAGATAGTGGCCTGTGGCTCATATCAAGCTTATATTGGTATGAGTGGAGCTATAAATCTGCATCACTGTGATGAATGTGTACATATGTGTGTACAGGTAGTCCTCCACTTACGACCACAACTGAGCCTAACATTTCCCTTGCTAAAAGAGACAGTTGTTAGGTGAATTTTGCCCCATTTTATGACTTTACTTGCCATGGTTGTTAAGTGAATCATTGCAGTTGTCAAGTTAGAAACATGATTGTTAAGTGTTGTGGCCTGTCAGCGGCCTGTGCAGATTGTAGCTGATTCCGACAACGAGGAGGCTGGTGTGGTGCTGCGCCAGCAGCCTGTGCAGCTGGCGCTCAAGTCGGACAGTGAGGAGGCTGGGGAAGATGTGGTGCCAGAGGCAGGGATTCAGCCAGGGCCTTCAGAACCTCCAGAAGCTCCTTTAAGTGAAGAGGACGAAGAGGAGGAGCTTCTTCTCAATGCATGGGCGCGCAGAGCTGCCAAAAGGCAGGAGTGGCTCCTCAGGAGGAGGTCTCCTCGAGAGTAAGGCTTGGGGCTAAATGGCCACTCCCTTAGCCTATTTAAGGAGGAATGCCACTTGCAGCAAGCTGTAGAGAACAACTTTAGTTCACTCTCCTTCGCGTCTGGATTCCCTGCAAAATTGCTTCTGGGCTTTCTGCCAACTCTAGTAAGACTGTGATTACTTTATCTTAGAATTCTGGTAGGCTGTTAAGACAGTTTATTAACAGCCTTTGATTGATAAAAACTAAGTTATTTGAGTAAAATAAGCTTTGTATAGAGTTTGTGTGTGCTGAGTTCTTTGGGGTCCGTAGCTGGGGCAGAACATTAAGTGAATCTGGATTCCTCTTTGACTTTGCGTATCAGAAGGTGGCAAAAGATGATCACATGACCCCCAGATGCCGCCACCGTCATAAATATGAGTCAATGGCCAAGCGTCCAAATTTTGATCATGGGACCATGGGGATTCTGCAACGGGCGTAAGTGTGAAAAATGGCCATAAGTCACTTTTTTCAGTGCTGTTGTAACTTTGAACGGTCACTGAATGAGCTGTTGTAAGTCGAGGACAACCTGCGCATGCTAACCCTTGATGGATGGATTGGACCGATTTTTATACCACTGAAATCATATGGCTCACGTCAGCTTATCTTTTATTTTTTTCCCCAAAGCCTCTGTTCATGTAGATGTATTAGTACCAGAGTGCTTTTAAAATCCCATGGGAACCTTGAAAACTTTAGTTCCGAAATGCAGCGTGAACGCTACGTTAAAGTAAACCTTCCACATCGGTATAGGGACGTTGGGACTCTAGAAAATATTTGTACAAAATGCTTGATGTACAAGCACCAAAACGTACAGTTCGAATATTACATTGTGGTTCCCCCACCCCTTCCCTAGCCAGATAGTAGCTGGATGATTCCCAGACCTATCATTGTCCAGCGGTGCATTGATTTTAGTTGGATCCATTATATTTAGTAAAAGCTCATCCAATTAACTTGTCAGTCTAAAGCTATCCGCGCATCACAACGTCTCCTGTACCTTCCCCCTTTCCAGCAAGCGAAATATTCAGGGACATTTTTCTCCTGTCCAATTCTCCATCCTTATCCACCCCCCCCCCACTCTCCCCATCCATCCTCCAATCCTCGGTGGTTCATTCATAAATATCCGCAGTCCCTCCCCACTGGCCCTGGCCAGCAGGTTCTTCTTTCGTATTGGGCTCCATGCCAAGAGCTGCGAAGGGGCACAGCCCCCTCTCTAGCTTACTACTTACCCTTCCCCCTCCCCGATTCATTTATTTCTTTGAAAGGCGATGATGCTGAGCCAAGCCACAGGATGGCTGGGATTTTTCACAATCTTGGCTACTACGGGGGCCAACTGGGAAGCAGGTGAGGGGGGCACCTGGTTGGAGGTGGGGGGGGGGGGGTGGGGAGGGGGTGCAACTTGGGGGATTCGGGAAGAGGAGAGGAGGGGAGTGACTGCCAAAGGGAGAGAAAGCAGAAAAATGTAAGAGCAGAAGGAGAAAAGGGCGGGGAGGTAACAAAAGGAGAGAGAAACTGTCCACCCAGAAGCGGAAAAGCTACGAAAGAGAGAACGGCAAAGGCTTGGAATGAAGGAATAAATGGAGGAAGAAGAGAATGGCAAAGGCTTGGAATGAAGGAATAAATGGAGGAAGAAGAGAATGGCAAAGGCTTGGAATGAAGGAATAAATGGAGGAAGAAGAGAATGGCAAAGGCTTGGAATGAAAGGATAAATGGAAGAAGGAGAGAACGGCAAAGGCTTGGAATGAAGGAATAAATGGAGGAAGAAGAGAATGGCAAAGGCTTGGAATGAAAGGATAAATGGAAGAAGGAGAGAACAGCAAAGGCTTGGAATGAAGGAATAAATGGAGGAAGGAGAGAACGGCAAAGGCTTGGAATGAAGGAATAAATGGAGGTGGGTTGCTGGTTACTTGGGATGGATGGAAGGAGAAACGGAATGCAGTTGTTTCAACCTAGGTTTGGTTCCAGGATAAGAAGGGGCTTCATGGCATCTTGGCTGTAACTTATTCAAGTCATTCTAAGAAATTGAATGTTGCTTTCTTCAAATCTACCACTCTCCCTGGATCAAAAAGATCATATCCTTCCAGGGATATGATAAATCGATTTGGGGCTGGATCGTGGAGTAGGGGAGACACCTTGTCCTTGATAGATTTCTAGAAATTGGTCTTGGCTCCAAAGCTGAATTGTTGCTTATTTCCCCCCCCCCAACTCAAGAATTCTCTGCCCCGGGGAAGAAACTGTCTTTCCTTTCTAAAGGTCTTAAGTTTCTTGCCAGCCTTCATCATTATAATTCACTGGGCACAAGGGTTTGTAGCAGAACAAAAGCTTGTGACTCACCCATTACATGCCACCTTCCTTCTCCATCCAAAACTCTTTGTTCCACTTCACAAATTCACCCATTAGTAAGAACTAGCCCTCTTCCCTTTTTTTTTTTTTTAAACGAAAGTACTTTTTAACACATGGATGGCCGGGAAGATGTTCAACAGGTGCAGCTCATGTCTATATACAAGTGCCCAGCTAGCTGCTGCTGGACTAGTTTTATTTCCGCCTGAGGAAGCCCACAGCAGCCCTGTAAAAGGGGCGGAATGAAGAAAGCAATCTTATCTTATGCCCAACCTGATCTCCTGCTCCAAGGTTTAGTTCCCAATGGTACCAATCCTTCTGTATCAGTGCATACACTAGTATTAAATGGAAAGAAACACCAAACATCTTTTTCAAAGGGGAATCTTTGTTTCAAAAGAGAGAGAAAGAATAAAACTGCAGCTTATTTAGCCCCAGTGGCTCATATCAACTCTCTCTCTCGTTGCAGACTTTAGGGAGAATTATCTTTTTATTTTAGTGGAATTAATCAAGCCAGAAAGAATTACTGTTAAAGAGTTGTGCCCTCTAAGTCTCTTTCTGGATACAGTTCAAAACAATGATTGGATATCACCGAAGACACAGAACATAGAAAAAACACAGAATAATAGAATTGGAAGGGATCTTGGAGGTCTTCTAGTCCACCCCCCTATACCATTTCAAACAGATGGTTGTCCAGTCTTTTTTTGAAAGCCTCCAGTGATGGAGCACACACAAGAGCTGACGGCAAGCTGTTCAATTGATTGAGTGCTCTCACCGTTAGGAAATTTCTCCTTAGTTCTCGGTTGCTTCTTTCCTCGGTTAGTTTCCATCCATTGTTTCTTATCTTGCCTTTTGGTGATTTGGAAAATAATGTAAGCCCCTGGTCTTTGTCATTGATTCTACAATCTTTCATAAAAAGCTGGTGGCAAAGGTATACCTGTCATGGAGGTGAGAGAGGTGGGGAATCTGACCTTTCAGAGGTGAGACAGGTGGGATGCCAAGGTTTGATCTTTCAAACAGCACCGCAGCATCCAAATTCTGGAACGTCCTTTCTCCTGGTATCTCTTGTCCAGTGCAAATGATTTATTCTCCCAGGGTCTGAGGAAAAACCTTTGCTTCATCACACATGACATGATTAGAGATAATGCAATTATTTATTTTCTCTTGACACTGCTTCCGCATGTGGTCTAGCCTTATTTGGTCAATTTAGGGAGGCACAATATTTGAGGGGCTGTCACAGAGAGGAGGGGATTGACCTATTTTCAAAAGCACCTGAAGGTCAGACAAGGAATAATGGATGGAAACTAATCAAAGGAGAGATTCAACCTAGAAATATGGAGAAATTTTCTGACAGTGAAAACAAGTTGTGGAAGCTTCATCACCGGAAGCTTTCAAGAAGAGACTAAACAGCCACTTGTCAGAAATGGTGTAGGGTCTCCTACTGGAGCAGGGGGTTGGATTAGATGATTTACAAGGTCACTTCCAACTCTGTTATTCTAAATCTAAGACTCTTCCTATCCTGATCTTTCAAATTCCATTTTTCACTTCTATATGGTGTCACAGGGAATAGCAATAGCACTTAGACTTATATACCGCTTCACAGTGCTTTACAGCCCTCTCTAAGTGGGTTACAGAATCAGCATATGGCCCCCAACAATCTGGGTCCTCATTTTACCAACCTTGGAAGGATGGATGAGTCAACCTTGAGCCTGGTGAGATTTGAACTGGCAAACTTCTGGGGGCCGGCAGTCAGCAGAAGTAGCCTGCAGTACTGCATTCTAATCCATTGCGCCACCAGGGGGAATGCAGGTAGTCCTTGACTTATGACCAAAATTGAGCCCCAAATTTCAGTGGCTAAGCAAGATAGTTGTTAAGTGAGTTTTGCCCCATTTTACCACATTTTTGCCACAGTTACTGAGTCACTGAAGTTGTTAAGTAAAAACATCGTTGTTAACTGAATCTGACTTCCCCATTGACTTTGCAGATCAGGAGGTCGCAAAAGGGAATCATATATTGAAGTAAATATGATTCCAGGACATTGCAACTGTCAGAAATACATGCCAGTTGCCAAGCGTCCAAATTTTGATCATGGGATCATGGGAATGCTGCAATGGTTGTGGGGAAAATGGTCATAAGTCACTTTTTTCAGTACCATTCGAATGGTCACTTACCAAATGGTTGTAAGTCGAGGACTACCTACCTGTACTGTGGTTTGAGAATTGGTTTGGATTAGATATTTTCCACTGTCCCTTACAACTCATCCATTCTATCATCGTATGCTAATGTGTGCAGTTTATTGTACAACAGTTTCCATCATTCTCAACAAGCAAAGGGATTCATCATAGCATTGTCAAGGTTCCAAGTAACACCCCCAACGAAAGAAATCTTTGAGGCTTGAGGTTCCTCAAAGTTCCATTTTGTTAGAGATGTCATATTGACACATCTGGGAAAACTCGAATCTGAAAGCTTCCAGGGTTTCCCCACCCATAGAAAAGTTCAAGTCCCTGCCCAGCACCCACAAGTCCATCACATGGTCCAATCAAAACACCATCCCAACTGGAGATGCCTCCCAAGTCTAGCCTTCCAGATGCAGGGCAAGATGTCCTTGAACCTCTGAGAAAAGCATGTTATTATGACTATATATCACCCTGCCTCCGTACAATCCCCCCTCCCACAGTAGTAAATGTGGCAGGACTGAAGGCCCAATACAAAATATGGCTTCTAGGCCTGACGGGCATGTTGCTTAGACATTAAATGTCAGGGTTCCCGAATGCCTGAAAATGAGGAAGAAGTTGGAGGTATTTTGGACGGAGAGTGAAGCTTGTTGGCAAAGCACACAGAGAACTTCAAGGAATTGGCCTTCCTTCTTTAAAGCTTTGTCACTACCGTGTTTCCCTGAAAATAAGACCCTGTCTTATATTTTTTTAACTCCGAAATAAGCGCTTGGCCTTATTTTCGGGGAGGTCTTATTACTTTGGGGAGCGTGATGGGGCTCCTCTTGCCGTCTTACCTGATTTCCAGTTCTGTGTTTAAATATTTTCGGGGAGGGCTTATTTTCGGGGGGGAGCTTATTTTAGCGCATGCGCTCAAAAGCCCAATTGGGCTTATTATCAGAGGATATCTTGTTTTCGGGGAAACAGGGTAGAAGGCAAAACCATGAAAGTGCATCTCACTTTGGCCATGTCATGCAAGGGAATTCACTGAGGAAAGCAATTATCTTTGGATGAATTAGCAGTAAAAGGCAACCAAGCCATCAAAGAACATGATGACCGGACATCATCAAAGTTGGTACCAGCCAGAACATAGAAAAACTCAGAAAAGAAGTGCACGATTGGAAACTGTGGAGAGACCCCCAACCAAGAGTCAGACACGACTGAATGGATGACATCGATGTCATTATCTTTAAAGCAAGTGTTCCTCATCCCCATGAGCCATGGTGGCACAGTGGTTAGAATGCAGTATTGCAGGCTATTTCTGCTCACATGGCCAGGAGTTCAATTCCTTCGATCCTGACCGGCTCAAGGTTGACTCAGCCTTCCATCCTTCCGAGGTTGGTAAAATGAGGACCCAGATTGTTGGGAGCCAATATGCTCAGTGGTGGGATTCAACCTGTGTAACAACCGGTTCGCTGAGCGCACACGCTCCAAACACATGCTCCGTGCACACGCAGTGCGTTTGAAAACAGCTCTAAAACTTACCTTCTATTGCAGCCCCAGTGAGTAAAACAGCTGAGCCGCAGCAATCCGCTCTGCCATTCCTATCAGCTGGGCTTCAAACAAAGGAAATATAGGTCGGTATAGCGCAGGGGCGGGCGGGCCCAGCTGATCATCGGAGCGAACCGATTCGCTCTCAGCTGATCATTGGAGCTACCGGTTCGCCCGAACTGGTCCTAACCGGCTGATTCCCACCCCTGAATATGCTGACTTTGTAAACCGCTTAGAGAGGGCTGTAAAAGCACTGTGAAGAGGTATATAAGTCTACGTGCTGTTGCTATCTCTTTGTGTGCTCTTTTTTTTGCAGACCCCCTGTGCCCTGCCAGGTACAAGATCAACTGCCTACTTCACCAGCGAATGGGCTGCGGACCAGATGGGGCACCGAGCTGCGGCTCTTGTTTCCCTGGTCATGAAGAGGATTCCAATGGAAACTGTGTGCCGAAAAAAGGCTCTAAGCATGGTAAGTCCTGTGGGGTTTGAAAGCTTGACCTGGCTAGGTGGCTCAGTGGCTAAGACGCTGAGCTTGTCGATCAGAAAGGTCGGCAGTTCGGCGGTTCGATAGGTCTCCTGCATGAGCAGGGGGTTGGACTAGATGACCTCCAAGGTCCCTTCCAACTCTGTTACTCTTATTATTATTATTATTATTATTATTATTATTGAAGTGTCATCAGCGTCAGAGTTTTTTCAAAATTTTACTGGGAAGAGCAAGGCAACCTGACCCAAGAGGTTCATGACAGCAAAGAGGACTTTCAACCTGGAGTTTAATAAAGGGAGTAGGTTATCCCAACTCTCCTTATTTTCTAGCCTTTGCCCTTTGCAACACATCTTATATTTTAGGAAGATGGTTCTATCCAGGGGTGAAATGCTTCCGGGTCGGACCAGATCACCTGATCCGGTAGCGATTTTTCCCTGTGGTTCAGCGATCCGGTAGCGATCGCCGCCCGGGTGTCATTACTTCCTGGTTTTAACCAGGAAGTAATGTTTTTCTTCTCATGTTTTGTGCATGCACAGAAGATGTGTGCGCGCACATGACATCACCGGTAAGGAAGGTAAGTAGATTTCACCCCTAGTTCTAGCCCAAAGGGGCATGGAGGGAGCCAGAGAGAAAATAGTTTGTGGACCAAAATCAAGAGGCCACTAAACCAGCCGCACATACTCTATATTTCAGTTCCAAAGCATCATCTAAAACCAGTCTGAAGGTTTTATAGAGAAGAGCTACAAAGGTGATTAGGGGACTGGAGGCTAAAACATATGAAGAACGGTTGCAGGTATTAGGCATGGCTAGTCTAGTGAAAAGAAGGACTATGGCAGTGTTCCAATATTTGAGGGGCTGCCACAAAGACGAGGGGGGGGTGTCAACCTATTCTCCAAAGTACCTTGGAGGCAGGACAAGAAGCAATGGATGGAGACTAATCAAGGAGAGAAGCAACCTAGAACCAAGGAGAAATTTCCTAACAGAACAATTAATCAGGGGAACGACTTGCCTCCAGAAGTTGTGGATGCTCCATTACTGGAGGCTTTTAAGAAGAGATTGGACAACCATTTGTCCGAAATGGTGTAGGGTTTCCTGCCAGAGCAGGGGGTTGGACTAGATGACCTCCAAGGTCCCTTCCGATTCTGTTATTCTGTTAAGGTCAAGAATCAAGAAACACTGGAACTGAATAGGGTTGCAATTTTTACATAGTTGTCTTCACAGCTGAAGGTCAACATACCCATGCGAACAGTTCACAGTTGAAGTTTTTGGCCATTAGTATGCAAAGTGGGCTGAAAGAAATGCTCCCAGCAGCCATCTTTTCCTCTGTCCATGGCTTATAAAGTGTTCCACAGCCAGCTCCTACTAGTGGCATTCAGGGTTGGTTGTGACTCACGAGGAATTTAACAGGATCTGTTAAATTCCTCTCTACCCATTCATGGCTACATTCCTGATCTCTTAAGATGCCGATTAAAGTCAAGAAATCCACCACTCTTGACAGCGCTTAAGCTGCTGGCCGATCATCGGAACACCACACAAAAGTGGATGGAAGCGTGGAGTAGCTATTCCCCTCGAGATATTTCTGAGCATATTAATCCTAATAGTATACCTCCAGGATTTAATCTACCCCGACACATATGGGTGACATACAATAGAATTAGAACGACTCATGGGGTGTGTGCCAACTCCTTGTATAAATGGAGAAAGACACCTTCAGCGCAATGTGATTGCGGGGGCCCCCGACGGACTATCCAACATATAGTGAGGGAATGTTCTAACAGAAGGTATCCAGGAGATTTTAGGGACTTCCTCTGAGCAACAACGACAGCTACTGACTGGATCTCCAAACTCGACATTAAACTCTGAAATGTTATTTCTGTTTTCCTCTTAGGTTTTCTTACTGCTTTTTTAAAAAAATTGTTTAATTGTTTTAACCTGTAAAAATGAAGTGTTTTAATATTGTGTGTGACCAGCCATACGCTAAATAAATAAAAGTGACTCACACACCCAAAGAGATTTTCTCTCCCAGTCCCAAGTGATGACCTTGCTATCTGTCACTCCACTCTATGTACCTCCACTTGGAGATTGGCGTATTATTAAAGGATCAGAAGCCAACAGTCGAGATCAGAGAATAAGAGTTGAAAATTCTGCCAACATTGTAAAAACTGGGTACATTATTCTTCCTCTGATCTAAGCCCTGGGTCAAAATAGAAACAAATGCCAACTCTGTATTCTGTTCCTCTGATTTCTGTCTTTCTTCCAATAAAAAGGAATTATGGAGCTGTTTTGTGGCGGAAGGTGAGGTGCCGACGTACCTCATTATTTTTCTGAAGTGTTTTTATATTGCTTGTCATAATTCATCGCCATCATCATAAAACGGGCAATTTTGATTCCACCAGCTAATAAAAGAGGGCTCTTGGCGAAATTAACTGCTGGGAAAAGGATGAGTGGTTGGATTTTTCTGTGTGCTTTTTTCATACTTAAATTTCATCATGTTCCTTTCGTCTTCCATTCAGATTTTTAGTAGTAAAATTTCTGATAAGAAGCAGGTACATCTTGACTTAGGTAAATGGTGCCAGCCCTTCAACATACACCAGAGTAGGACATTTATGAATGCTAATATTACTTTTATTATAAGATTAAAGTAATGCAATCCTGCAAGTCTGAATACATTTACTCCCCCTCCCTCCCTTCAGGAGAACTAGGGAGGGTTTTGTCAGAGAAGCTTTCTCACATTACAGTTCTGTACCAGACTCAGATTCTTTTATCTGACAATTGTTTTGATTGCAGCTCTTCCTCCTGTTCCTCTTGGTAATTCCTTCTCAACTCAGTATATACTGTATAAATCCATCATTGATGTTGATGTTGATGTTACTGCATATTTGTTTATATATTACCGCATATTTGTTTATATATATATATATACAATTATAATTATGATGATGATGATGATGATGTTTGCACGTTTGTATGTTAACATCTTGGACATCTAGAGAGCACACTGCTCAACATAGAAAGGAAATGTATGATATAAAATAATAATAAATATTTATATATTAAAAAAAACTATTGCCTTTGCTCCGCTGTGTTTAACCAGACAATGATTTGCCACCGGTTAAACAAAATTCCAGAATTTTTCAGCCACAATGTACAGATAGTCCTGGACTTATGACCAGTCACTTAGTGACTGTTCAAAGTTACAATGAAACATCCAAAAGCTATTGACAACTCGGTTCTGAAGTGCCTTATCCCCTCCGCAAATCCCGTGGTCATGTGACTGCAGTTTGGGCATTTGGAAACCGGTCCACATTTATGGCTGTTTGCAGTGCCCCACAGTCATGTGACTGTGATTTACAATGTTTTTTCTGTCCATAGGAAACAATGGGTTTGCTTAACAGTTGCTGCTGCTGCCAAAACAAAAACAAAAACAAAACCCTGCTCAAAGCAGGAGACCCTATACCGTTTTCAGTCAAATGGCTGTCCAGTCTCTTCTTAAAAACCTCCAGTGATGGAGCACCCACAACTTCTGACAGCAATTTGTTCCACTGTTTAATTGTTCTCACCGTTAGGTATTTTCTCCTTAGTTCTAAGTTGCTTCTCTCCTTGATTAGTTTCCATCCATTGTTTCTTGTTTTGTTTTTTGGTGCTTTGGAAAATCGTTTGACCCAACTCATCTTTGTGGGAGCCCCTCGAATACTGGAACACTGCTGTCAGGTCACCCCTAGTCCTTCTTTTCTCTAAACTGGCCATACCCAATTCCTGCAACCATTCTTCATATGTTTTATATTAGGAGCAACTAAGATGATTAAAGATGATTAATCTTAAAGAAGAGCAATCTTAGCACTATATCATTTCAGACAAACGGATGTCCAATCTCTTCTTTATTTATTTATTTATTTTATTGAATTTGTATACCACCCTACTCCCGAAGGACTCAGGGCAGTGAACAGCCATAGAATAAAACATATAAATACAAAATTTAAAATAGATTAAAACGAATTAAATAATTTGGCTGAACAAATTTAAAACCCCAATAATTTAAAACCAGATTTAAAATTTCCATTTAAAAAGGGGAAAGACTTAGGCCAGGCCGGCTTGATGAAATAGGAAGGTCTTGAGCGCGCGACGGAAGGTACGCAGATCTGGGATCCTCCGTATCTCCGGGGGGAGCTTGTTCCAGATAGTAGGTGCCCCCACAGAGAAGGCTCTCCCCCTGGGGGCCGCCAGTCGACATTGTTTGGCCGACGGCACCCGGAGGAGCCCCTCTCTATGGGAGCATACTGGTCGGTGGGAGGCTATTGGTGGTAGCAGGCGGTCCCGTAAATAACCAGGTCCTAAGCCTTAAAAGACTTAAAAGTCTCCAGTGATGGAGCACTCACAATTTCTGAAAGCAAAGCTGTTCCACTGGTTGATTGTTCTCACTGTCAGGAAATTTCTCCTCATTTCTAGGTTGCTTCTCTCCTTGGTTAGGTTCCATCCATCCTTCTTTCTTGTCTTGCTTTCTGGTGCTTTGGAGAATAGGTTGACCCTCTCTTCTTTGTGGCAGCCCCTTGAATACTGGAAGACTGCTATCATATCACCCTACTCCCGTGATGGCGAACCTATGGCATGCGTGCCACAGATGGCACGCGTAGCCATATCTGTGGGCACATGAGCATTGCTCTAACTCAGCTTCAGCGCACATGCACATGCAGGCCAGCTGATTTTTGGGCCTTCTGGGCCCACCGGAAGTCGGGAAACGGGCTGTTTCCCGCCTCTGGAAGGCCTCCGGGGGGTGGAGAAAGCTGTTTTCGCCCTCCCCAGGCTCCTAGAAAGCCTCTGGAGCCTGGGGAGGCCGAAAAACAGGCCTACCAGGCCCACCAGGCCAAAAGCGGGGGGAGTGTGTGGGGGGAGCATTTAATTATGGATGTGGGCACGCAGGCGCATGACCCCCCAGTGTTCCCCCTGCTTTTGGCACGCGATGGCAAAAAGGTTAGCCATCACTGCCCTAGTCCTTCTTTTTCACTAAACTAGACAAACCCATTTCCTGCATCCACTCTTCATCTTTATTGCTCTTCTTTGCACTTTTTCCAGAATCTCAACATCAACATGATACTGAATGTCAAACATTAAACACTTGTCCTGCCAGTGTTAGTGTGTGTGTGTGTGTGTGTGTGTGTGTGTGTGTGTGTGTGTGTTTGTGTGTGTTACTGGCTGCACTTCCCCTCTCCATTTCCTCTCTTTCAGAAAGCAAACTCAAAACTCAGAAGAGACCTAATGATTTGCCGGGTCTTTTGCGTTACCTTTTGGCTAAGCATGAAAAGGCATTGCAACCGTCCACGATGGAGACCACCGTACCTGGTATGTAAATTCACCAACTCTTCGTTCTTTCTCCAAAAGGGAACAAATTATTTGGGGTGTTTCCTATCTAACGCAAGGAATCAGCATAAGGGGCCCAATCAAGGGTGGTTCTGCTGGGGGTTCACAGGGGTTCGGGAGAACCTCTAGCTATGATTCTGTGCAGTTCGAAGAACCCGCAAATCCCACTCCTGGCTGGCCCACCCCACCCCTCCCAGGAGTCCCCACGCAGCCCATTTTGGATGCAGGTAAGTGTAGGGCGCGCATGGAGGCTCAGGGAGGGCAAAAAACAGGCCTACCACAAGTTTGGGAAGGCCAGAAAGAGGGCCTCCGGAACCTGGGGAGGCCGTTTTTGCCCTCCTGGAGGCTCAAGGAAAGCCTCCAGAGCCTGGGGAGGGCAAAAACGCCTCCCCGTAGTGCAGGAGGCCTACTAGGCCACTCCCACCATGGCCACGCCCACCCAGCAACCGAGCAGAGAACCTCTTGCTAAAATTTTTGAAGCCCACCCCCGGGCCCAATTCTCTTTAATAATTTCAAATCATTGAACAGATTAATCAAGTAACTATCAAGGAGGAAACCACACACAGACACACACGCACTAATACTGGCAGAGCAAGTGACTGCATACAGGTAGCTCTTCACTTAACAACCGTTCCTTTAGTGATCGTTTGAAGTTACACTGGCACTGCACAAAGTGACTTATTGTTGTTTTTCACACCACTGTTGTAGCTTCTCCATAGTCACGTGATTAAAATTCGCACGCTTGGCAACTGGCATGTATTTATAATGGTAACTTACAGTGTCGTGGGGTCATGTGATCACCATTTTAAGAGCCATGGTGGCACAATGGTTAGTATGCAATATTGCAGGCTAATTCTGCTGACTGCCGGCTGCCAGTGGTTCGGTAGTTCGATTCTCACTGACTCAGACTTCCATCCTTCCGAGGTGGGTAAAATGAGGATCCAGATTGTTGGGGGCAATAGGCTGACTCTGTAAACCCCTTAGAGAGCGCTGTAAAGCCCTGTGAAGTGGTATATATTGTATGAAGTATGCTATTGCGATTATTTGCAACCTTCCCAGCCAACTTCCAACAAAGAAAGTCAATGAAGAAGCCAGATTCACTTATTATTAATTTAACAACTGTAATGATTTACTTAACAACTGTGGCAAGACAAGGGCAAATGTCACTTAACGATCCTCTTGCTTAGTAACAGAAATTTTGGGCTCAATTGTGGTCGTAGGTCGAGGGCTACATGTGTAAGATTAGAGTCTGCTTTGCATTCATTTCTAAGTGCATTTAGTATTTGCATAATAATGCCATGCCTTGGAATGATTCATGATTCAAGAGATTGTTGGGTCATGTGGCACCTTCTGATTGCCACCGTCATGGAAACTTTGGCACAGAATTTGGAGAGCTTGACTCTGGATTGTGCTTCACCCCACTCCTCAAATTACATGGCAATGTCTACTTTCCAATGAATTTTAATCCAAAGCATTGAGCCAGTCTCTCTCTCTATATATATTTATTTCCCTGTCTCTCTGACATTTGTACTGCCTGGAAGTAAGATTGAATATGCATTATGATTTTATCCACTATCTATTTTTATCTCTTAACTGTGTTGGAAAATGAGATCATTTCCAGTTCAAACTGCATCCAGCATTTTCCCAGTCATTCCCCGCATCCAGATGAGAGCAAGCACACATACCCTTCAGTTCAGTATTCCCTAGGCTTATTGATTAAACATCAACAAATGTAAATAATAATAATAATAATAATAATAATAATAATAATAATAATAATAATAATAATAATAATAATAATAATAATAATAATAATATTCTGTTTCCCCTAAAATAAGACATCACCTGATAATAAGCCCAATCGGGCTTTTGAGTGCATGTGCTAAAATAAGCCCCCCATGAAAATAAGCCCTCCCCGAAAATAAGCCCTCCCCAAAAATATTTAACCGCATGCGCAGCCATTCCTCGCCATTTCCCCTGATTAGGGTGACAGAGGTGGAAATCAGGTAAGATAGCAAGAGGAGCCCCATCTTGCTCCATGCACCCCAAAATAATAAGACATCCCCTAACATAAGGCCAAGCACTTATTTCGAGGTTCAAAAAATATAAGACAGGGTCTTATTTTCAGGGAAACATGGTAATAATAATAATAATAATAATAATAATAATAATAATAATAATAATAATAATAATAATAATAATAATAAGAAGAAGAAGAAGAAGAAGAAGAAGAAGAAGAAGAAGAAGAAGAAGAAGAAGAAGAAGAAGAAGAAGAAGAAGAAGAAGAAGAAGAAGAAGAAGATAAAAGGCAGGGAAAATAAGGAAGAGGGGAAAACATATGAGCTGCAGGCCAGAATTTACATTCTCTCGATCAAAAGGCACAGCATTTTCCAGAGCAATGTTTCTTAGACTTGGTGACTTTAAAATGAGTGGACTTCAACTCCCAGAATTCCCTAGAATTGAAATCTACCCATCATAAAGTTGTCAAGGTTGAGAAATCCTGTTCCAAACCCACAGGAAATGGTACTCGAGAGTTTGCATAAACAACCCTGAAGGAAATGGCCTTCAGTTCTTCCAGTTATAGCTAGATGGATGGATGGATAGTAGAATAGTCGAATAGGAATAGAAAGGTAGACACCAGGCAATCCCTCTACTATTGTATATCTGGAGGAAAACAACTGAATGGATGGGGATGGGGATTATTTCTTAATTATTTTTCTCACCTAGAGTAAAAATTAGCTCACAGACTAAAGACAGAATATCACACTTGTTGTCAGTTCCTTATCATCTCTGAGCAACATTGCTTACTGGACTATATTTCCAAAAATGTTTAGAATTTGGCCTATTTTCAAATTTTAAGCTTAGCTCTGCTGTTAGATTGATGAAACTATCGCAAAGACTTGTCTCACAGAGAAATTTGCAGGATCTGGTACTAAACAGCAGCGAATAGAAAGCAGGCAGGGGGAAAAATGGCATTCTTTAAAATTAATGTCTTTTGATTTTACAGGTATTACTGAGGTATTTGAACCATCCAGCTCTCAGACTGACTTCCCGACTTCTCAGCCAACAAGCGTTTCCTATTCTGGGAACACTTCTGCAGTTTCCTCTCAGTCATATGAAATCACTCCAATTTCAGCCACCATACCACCAAGGAGAGTAAGAGTGGACTTCAAACAGAGGTCGCGTCCTCCAGTTACTAGCATGAATAAAGCGGTGACTCTTAGTGAGTAGACTGACTAATTGACCATAGGAGAACGGGCAGAGTCTGGGGGTGGAGTCAAGAGAGTAACCAGCCTAGAGTCATTACATTCTCATAAGCAGTCTAAGAAGAGCTGTGGGTGGCGCAGTGGTTAGAATGCAGTACTGCAGGTTATTTCTGCTGACTGCCGGTTGCCTGCAATTTGGCAGTTCAATTCTCACCAGCTCAAGGTTGACTAAGCCTTCTATCCTTCCGAGGTCAGTAAAATGAGGGCCCAGATTACTGGGGGCAATATGCTGACTCTGTAAACTGCTTAGAGAGGGCTGTAAAGCACTGTGAACCAGTATATAAGTCTTAAGTGCTATTGCTATTGCTAAGTTTAACTCATCTTGAATTCTGTTAACTCTTACCTAGCACCAATTTAGTGCTGACCATTAGTTGACTAGATCCTTAATATATAGGCATGAGCAATAAATTAACTTAACTAGATCTTAACATGTGGTCCTGATTCTTTGTGACTGACATTGACTGGCTGGTTGCCCACAGAACCGGTAGTAGAAATATTTGAATTCTACCACTGGCCCACAGGCCAGATGCATCACACGCTGGCCACGCCCACACCTGATTTAGCAAAGGGGGGAAAAAATCCTGATAAGTCATGTGATGCCTCCGTGACGACGTGAGTTTGACACCCCTGGACTAGAAGACCTCCAAGGCCCCTTCCAACTGTTACTCTGTTAATACCGTGGTCTGTTTAACTTTGTAGGTATAGACACATCATGGTGTTTGAGTATCATTTCCAGGGCCTTCATGGCTGCTCTACTAAGTGCTAGCCTGCAGCATATTTCTTGACTGCTTGTTCCTTTACTGTGGATGGTTGATCTTGAACAGGAGACGCTATGATGGCTTCATTGAAGAGTAGAATTTTGATAGCTTCATTGTCAATTTTAAGGCTGCTTTTTTGCACCTGTTGGCATTAGTTTAGTCTTCTTTTAGGGAACCAGAAAAGATGGGGCAAGAACGAGGAGAAGAGCTGAATGGTGAAATGTTTGTGTTTGCATAGCTGGCAAAGCAGTGTTTTGTCATATCCTTGTGGGTCCAACCCTCAGAGTTGTTCATTATGTTCCTTTCAGCTCTTGTGGTCATGTGCACAGTGACAGGAGTCTCTGGATTGGTGGTTGCAGCCATTTGCTGGTACAGGTATGAATCTGATCATTGTTCTGACCTAGGCTTCCTGAGAGAGTAAAAAGCACACGATTAGTCCCCAAAACCCTCTTTTTATTTCAACGGCTGTGAATTCTGTTCATTCCCAGCCCGTGATGAGTCACAAATAGTTTGTAAAGAGTCCGACAGAAGTCTGCCACAGTCCTTCGGGATAAGGCGGATAAGCACCCGCCTTTATCTCCCTTGACACGCTGCCAAAGACCTAATTGGCAATTAGCTTTGCAAGGCCACATGGAGCACAGAGTCAAAACAGAGCTTCAGAATTTAAACCGATCAGAACGAACAAAGTTGCTTCCTACAAAGGCTCATGTCCCTTTGCTCCACCTTTATGTCTTATGGGAGGGGCCAATCATCTCCAAGCCTTACTCCCAAGTCGCCCCTTTTGTCTTAACTGATCTTGCCTTCTGGCAGCTCTGCACATGTGCGCACTGGGAACAAGCTGCCCCTGTTCCTCTGCCTCACTGACGTCAGACTTTGGAGGCTCCGGAGTCAGCACATAACTCCCAGATGGCCCTGGCCCCATCTCTGCCTCCAACGCAGAACCCTCGTCCGAGCCTTCCCCAGATTCCAGGACTGGCCCATTGTCCTCCCCAGCCTCCTCACTGTCTGACTCTGCTGCCAGCTCCGCAGGCTGCTGGCAGACCACAACAATCGCCCCCTTTTTCATATATTCTTTCTCTATTATTATAATGATCACTATTTTCATGTTTGAGGTGGGAGAAACAGACTAGCACTGATGATGTTACCTAGTTAGGGTAATAAAACATTTGCAAGAAAATAAGCAAGCTCAGAGAGCACCGAGGACACCTTGGGAGAAGCTCTGCCCATGATCAGTAAAATTCCTTTATTCCTTGTTTTTCCTATTGCTGAGGGGGAACTGGGCTGCAGATTTAATGATCTATGAATCGGGAAAATGAGAACAATGCGTTGGGAGTTATTCCTATTTTTTGTTGTTGTGTTTCACTCAAAACATTTATGATTAATTTGCAGGCTTCAGAAAGAAGTACGCTTGGCTCAAAAGATGGCATACACAGCTACTCGGGGGAACCAGTACCGATACCATCAACCCAGTGCAGTACGTTGGCTTTGCAAAATGGGATTTGTTAATGAAAGATGAAGACCTTGCTTATAGGATATGTTATATATACTGTAGCATGTTGTGTTTATGGTTTGGAAATCATAGTTCATGTTGTATCGTATGAACTCAATCAAATGGGGCTTAGTAGATTGTGTTCAATGGAATGAAAATGAGGAGGAGGGGGAGGGGGAGGGGGGAAGAGGATATTCTAGTAGTCATTGCTTTCTCATAAAATAGAACAGAATAGAACAGAACAGAACAGAACAGAACAGAACAGAATTGAATGGAATTCTTTATTGGCCAAGTGTGATTGGACACACAAGGAATTTGTCTTTGGTTCATATGCTCCCAATGTACATAAAAGAAAAGATACATTCGTCAAGAATCATAAGGTACAACACTTAAAGATAGTCATAGGGAACAAATAAGCAATCACATCATATTAGGAAACAGTCAATAGTCTGTTAATAGTTTTATTAATTTATAATATGACATATAAAAAAAATGGAAAAGCAAATATTTGGGGAATTAGGCATTGACTTCTGACTCCTTTGGTGCAGTAAATTAAGGCATTAAGCTCTACCCTCAACTTTTTTTACTTTTTCATAATCATAGAAACTAGCCATTTCTATAACAACAAATCTATCTAATTGGTAAATCCCAAAATCAAAGTTTCCAGAGGATATTCTAGTGGTCATGAATGATGACAGTTGGATAACGTCCCAGAGATCAGAGTTAGGTTGAATTGGTATTCTTGCCTACAGGGCTCCAAAAATCAGGAAAGACATATTGAGCCTCTTCTAAACTTTTTCTTTATTGTTCCTCGCCCATAGACAGAAATCTTGCCAAACTAAAGCAGGCTACTTTGCACCCCAGGCCATATATTCTGGGAAGTGTTAAGGAGGAGCTGTTTTCACATCCTTTTTCTCCGTCACAAACTATTTAAATTGTATTGTCTATTGATTGCTACCAGGGGTGGGATTCAAAAATGTTAGCAACCGGTTCTCTGCCCGGTTGCTGGGTGGGCGTGGCCATGGTGGGCCTGGCCTACTCAGCCTCCTGCACCATGGCCGGGGGGGGGGGGGGAGTGTATTTTTGCCCTTCCCAGGCTCTGGAGGCTTTTTTTGAGCCTCCAGGAGGGCTCCAGAGGCCCTCTGGAGGCCAGAAACGGGCCCGTTTCCAGACTTCCAGAACTTCCTGGGAAGCCCGTTTTTTGCCCTCCCAGCGTCTCCATGCAGACCCTGCACTTACCTGGCATCCAAAATGGGTCGCGTGGAGACTCCTAGGAGGGCAAGGGTGGGGTGGGAGGGACAATATTCCATCATAATTGTCTTGCCTATCAGCTTTCAGAAGAGACATTGGGTTGGTGGAGGATGCTTGAGAAGATGATTTTCCTGATCTCATGAGGCTCTCCTTAATCATCTTCTGTTCCTCTTTTTCAGTATATGGATTCCAGGCTAGCACAGTCTTGTCAAGTCCACCACTATCAGCATCGGAAGAAACTTCTTACTGGTGAAGAGTAAGTGTTTTTCTCTAGAACTTTCCCTGGAGGTGGGAGGGAATGGGAGAGCTGCGAGAATGGAGCAAGTCTCAGAACTGGAAAAGCCATGGCTCCTTGGGACAGAGGACACGGGAGAGCAGAACTTTCATCTCTCTCTTTATCTCAAGAGAAAAGATCTCTAGGTTGGGGGATATCTTTAAAAGATTTGTTTTCCAGAGCTGGGAAACAGATCTCCCAACGCTGAGCAGACAAACACTTGATCACTTAGGACAGTGGTCTCCAACCTCGGCAACTTTACGACTTGTGGACTTCAACTCTCAGAATTCCTCAGCCAACGCATGAGCTCATTAAAAAGAGCTTCAGCCTTCCTGTGAAATTGACTTCTTAGTCTGGTCTACCTGATGACGCTAACTAACCGATGAGGACTCTATGATCTCTGTAACATCCCATCACTTTTATCTTGTGTTCTTCTCCCCAGGAGACAATCTCCCAAAACAGTGGAACCGAACCCTACAGAATCAGAGAGTGAAAATGGAGACTATACTGTATATGAATGTCCTGGATTGGCCCCGGTATGTAATGGATGGATGGATGGATGGATGGATGGATGGATGGATGGATGGACAGGTAGTCCTCAACTTACAACAGTTCATGTAGTGACAGTTCGAAATTGCAACAGCACACTGAAAAAAGTGAGATATGAACGCTTTTCACACTTACGACCACTGCAGTATCCTTATGGTCATGTGATCAAAATTCAGGCGCTTGGCAACTGGCTCATATTTATGATTATTGCAGTGTCCTGGGGTCAGGTGACCTTCGGACAAGCAAACTCAATGAGGAAGCCAGATTCACTTAACAACCTTCTTCCTAACTTAATAATTGCAGCGATTCACTTAAGAAATGCGGTAAGAAAGGTCGTAAAATGGGGCAAAACTCACTTACCAAGCAAAACTCACTTAGCAACAGAAATTACAGGCTCAATTGTGGTTGTAAATCAAGGCTTACCTGTATTTGCAATAGTGAGAAGCGGTATACCACAGAGGTAGTATTCAGCTGGTTCAGACCGGTTCGGGCGAACTGGTAGTAGAAATCACGGGTGGCCCTGCCCACCCGCCCCAGCTCTATGCTGTCTTATTTAGGCACATTTTTGAGGCCGGGCGCATGCGTAGAGGGCTGGGCGCATGCGCGGAAGACTGGGCACATGCGCGGAAGGCTGGGCGCATGCACAGAAGGCAGGCATGCGCACAAACCGGGGGGCGCGCTGCGAAGCAAGCATGTGTGCGGCAAACCAGTAGTAACAAAATGTGAAACCCACTGCTGGTATACAAAGATAGTAAATATATAAAGTATCTCTTTTAATGGCTTTAATTCACCAAGACATAATCTACTTATCCGAGTGAATAAGCAAGGCCCATATTTTACAATCTAGCATAATCTAGATAAGAAGTAACAACAAAGCCTCAGGTGTCCTGCTAAACAATAACAACTGGAGTGGAGACACAACTTTGCAAACAGTTCTTAGCCAAATTGCTCAATAAGCGGTCAATGTGAGACTACCCTTTATGCAATTTGATCGATATCATTTTAATGAGTTTTTATGTTTTAAACTGCTCTGGAGGCGTTACATCTAACAAGACCAAAAGCCACTAGGATGACTTTCAAGAGAATAAGTATACTGGGCTGAATTTTTCTTCGGAAAATGTTAGTAATGTGTTAACTTTATCGTAGTTCTTTTGAGATTGTTGGGATACATATTTTGCATTGACCTCTTAACACACTCCAGTCCAGTGATGGGTTTCAAATATTTTTACTACCGGTTCTGTGGCATGGCTTGGTGAGTGTGGCTTGATGGACGTGGCATGGGAAGGATACTGAAAAATCTCCATTCCCACCCCACTCCAGGGGAAGGATACTGTAAAATCTCCATTCCCTCCCCAATCCAGGGGAAGGTTACTGCAAAATCCCTATTTCCTCCCGATCAGCTGGGACTCGGGAGGCAGAGAATAGATGGGGGCAGGGCCAGTCAGAATTTTTACTACCGGTTCTCCGAAGTACTAAAAATTTCCGCTACCCATTCTCCAAAACTGGTCAGAATCTGCTGAAACCCACCTCTGCTCCAGTCCCGAGCTTCCCCTACCCCCAATCCATACCTTTAAGCACAGCCAAGAAACTATTCCTAGTTATAATAAGGCAATAAACCACCATTCGTCCACCCTTCCATTCGTCCACCTTCCATCCAGCCTTCAGAAGTTGTGGGCACTTCATCACTAGGGCTTTTTAAGAAGAGACTGGACAGTCACTTGTCTGAAATGATAGGATCTCCTGCTCAATCAGGGGGCTGGACTAGAAAACCTCCGAAGTCCCTTCCAGCTCTATTCTGATTCTGATTCATTCATCCACCCTTCCCCTCCCTATTTCGGCTGACAAAGATCCTGCCAGGGAATTGTGCAGCAAGTGTCCAAATGAAGTCAGAGACACTGACACAAACTTGTAAATTTTATATAGATAGATATATTTTACATTTATATTTACAGTAGACAAGATAGTCAGGAACACAGGAACACCATGATGTAAATCTAAATAGCATATAGAGCACACAAAAGAAAATGGCGGGGGAAAAGGGGAAATCCCCTGCATATTTTTGCTGATAAAGTTCCTTTGCCTTTTAAGCATTGTAATAAAGATAAAGATAAAGGTTCCCCTCACACATATGTGCTAGTCATTCCCGACTCTAGGGGGTGGTGCTCATGTCCGTTTCAAAGCCGAAGAGTGCTATCCGAAGACGTCTCCGTGGTCATGTGGCTGGCATGACTAAACGCCAAAGGCGCACGGAACGCTGTTATCTTCCCACCAAAGGTGGTCCCTATTTTTCTACTTGCATTTTTTTTTACGTGCTTTCGAACTGCTAGGTTGGCAGAAGCTGGGACAAGTAACGGGAGCTCACCCTGTTACGCGGCACTAGGGATTCGAACCGCTGAACTGCCGACCTTTCGATCGACAAGCTCAGTGTCTTAGCCACTGAGCCACTGCATCCCTAAGCATTGTAATAGTAGATAGCTATATACAGAGATAGCTGCGGTTCTATAGGAATTAATTGAATATACCAAAACGGTTAATATGTATAGGTGGACAACCTTTTTCTAGGTATAACTGGGCCTTGGTAAAAAAAAGTATTTTAAGCCTTTGGGATAGTGGGAAGAACAATTATGTGAAAGCAGTAAGGACACAATGTTTGATTCTCTTTTAGTATTTTCCCTTTCCCTTTTAGTAAAATAGAAGCATTAAATCACACACGTTTGTCTGATTACTTTTCAAATGGGGGGGGGAAGCCCTCATAATTGGATAGTTTGCCACCAGTTTCAACAGCTGGATTATGGATGGCCCCAGGGAATGGAGAAAAGAGGCTCAGGATATCTTGCCTGTGAATCACAGGTTGTGGAGCTCCAGGTTATATGCTAAAATGAGTTATTTTGTACCTAAGTCACATTAGACCCACCTCTCTGGGCTGTAGTTAGATTTGATGCTGAAGACTTGCTAAATGGAGTAGGAGGTGAGGGGGGGGGTTTGCCTTCTAAAATTCATATGACCATCTTAAAAGCACAACTCTGGGCAGCTCACAACTAGTTCACACAGTCAAAAACATAAAAATTAAACAATAACCCTAAAACTGGACAAAGATGAAGTTAAAAATAATCCAATACAAAATTACTTTGGTATAGCTAATAATCCCACAATGGAATGGAGTGGAGTGGAGTGGAGTGGAGTGGAGTGGAGTGGAGTGGAGTGGAGTGGAGTGGAGTGGAGTGGAGTGGAGTGGAGTAGAGTAGAGTAGAGTAGAGTAGAGTAGAGTAGAGTAGAGTAGAGTAGAGTAGAGTAGAATAGAATAGAATAGAATAGAATAGAATAGAATAGAATAGAATAGAATAGAATAGAATTATTTATTGGCCAAGTGTGATTGGACACACAAGGAATTTGTCTTGGTGCATACGCTCTCGGTGTACTAAAAGAAAAGATACATTCGTCAAGAATCATAAGGTATAACACTTAATGATAGTCATAGGGAAACAGTCAATTTAAATCTTAAGGATACCAGCAACAAGGTTACAATCAGACAGTCATAAGTGGGAGGAGATGGGTGATAGGAATGATGAGAAGATTAATAGTAATTACAAACACACCTAGTCCCAAAGGTGCTTTTTCAAGAGGCAACTGGACTTTGTTTCTCCTTGAAGACATTTCTTCAGTTCAGCTTCTTTGGAGGAGAAGCGAAAAAACTTCAAGGAAAAACAAAGAAAATCCAGTTGCCTCTTGAAAAAGCACCTTTGGGACAACCATGATCTGGATGACTGAGAATCTTCATAGTCACAAACACGTATTTTGGGCTCCCCTAGCATCCCAGTATTATAATGCCTGGGTAGAAAACCAGGTTTTTAGTAACCTTCAGAAGGCCAAAGAAAGACCCTCTTAATCTCAGGATGGAGGCTGTTCCATAAGGACTACTTAATCTTAAATAGCTTCCATCCCCTTCGATACATGGGGAAGATGTAGACCTAATCGATTTCTGGCTGGAGAGTGGAGAATTCCAAAGTAATGATAAAAATACCCAAGATAAGATTCTTGCCTACTGCATCAAGTAGCCATTGATTGATTAGATATATAAGGCGATGTAGATATATAACACGATGTAGTATAAAAAACAAACCATACATAAAAAAGATTTAGAAAACCCCCCACGTGTAACAATGGCCTAACTCTTTTAAATTGTTTTAGATTTTTAAATTGTTTAATTATGGGTCTTAATACAGGGGTGTTTTTAATTGTGGGCCAAATTAATTTAATTGGATTTTAATACTGTTTTTAAATTTTGTATTTCTTGTGTTTTATCTGTTGGCTGTTCACTGCCCCGAGTCCTTTGGGAGAAGGGCGGTATATAAATATAAACAATAAAAATAAATAAAATAATAATCAGATACATAAATGCATAATATAAAGGCATGACTAGCATACAATAAAACAACTAAAAGGGCATTCTCAGAATTAAACCATGTGAGGAGAGAAAGGGGTCATGCTCAGAATCAGCTCTGTGCATGGTAAGAGCAGGAGGGGTAGGGGTAGGGGTAGGGGTAGGGGTAGGAGGAGGAGGAGGAGGAGGAGGAGAAGGAGAAGGAGAAGGAGAAGGGAAGGAAGGAAGGAAGGAAGGAAGGAAGGAAGGAAGGAAGGAAGGAAGGAAGGAAGGAAGGAAGGAAGGAAGGAAGGAAGGAAGGAAGGAAGGACAACTTTGAGTTGAACTCAGCTCCTACTCTGTGCAATAAAAATGGAGTGGTTTGCCCGTGTGGTTTTTTCTGGGTTTTTTCTGTTTTTAAACTTCCAAGTCTGGTCTGATCATCTCCATCTTAATAGTCCCATCGAATAACTAACCAGATGTATCCATCTGAGGAGCGTTTAAAACTAGAGAACAAGTAAGGAGATTAAAGAAAGAGATAGGAATCCAGAAATATTTCATATTTGCATATGCAGACAAAGTTCTAGCTTCAAGTCTCACCTCCAGGTTTGGGTGGACGTTGGCTGAGATGTCTTCCGTGACTTCTCTCTTTGAGTGTTCACTGACTTCACTTCCTCCACACAAAGCTGTGGTTCCTTTCCTTTGTTCATTCCGGTTTGCTTCCTACCAACTGCAAAGCAAAAAAATTGACATGGTTTCAAGGGCAAATATCTAACCATCCCAATCAGGCTCTATATACATGAGGTTTCAGGATCTGATGAGTTAGTTCTTGAGTTGCAACCATAATGGAGCCTGCCCATTACCGTTGCAAGCTGTAACAGGCATAAAACCATCATCAATCATGTAATGACGTTTTTTGCAATGGTCATTAAGCAGAGACTATGGTCTTAAGTGCAAAAACTGCAGTTTTTAAATGGACCCATTGTTTGTTATGGCGTACTTTTATCAAAAACCAGAAATGCCATTTTCATCAAAACTGTGGTATGGCCATGGGGTGCTGCAAATACCCGTAGATGCCACCATGTTGCCAAGCACACAAACTGCAATAATGTGATCAGGTGGAGAACCATCAGAACTTTCAGATCCTGGATCATAAGTCCTCTTTTTCAGGTAACCCCTAACTTTGACTGGCTGTAAATACAGGGTTACCTGGATGCTTGGATAATTTCCATATTAGACATTGTTTGCCCAGCTGGCCCAAAACAGTGGGCTTTCCTAATTTAATAACTTTGCACAATTGTAAGAGAAACACGGTAGATCTCTTGGCATATTGTAAAGCTCACATTTCGTATGATAAGAGTTCAGAGTTCAATTCTGTTACAAAGGGATTAGCTAAGTGTAGGGATATTGTTCACGGTACAAGTAGAAAAATCAAAGGTGAATGCTCTTTTAATGGAGAAAGAAAAGAAAACTTTCCCTGCATAAAGTTAAACCTAAAATATGATAAAGTTAACCTAAAATATTTTCCTTTGAGATACTATCATGGTACCGATGAGAAATTTATTTGTTTATTTTTATTATTTTATTTATTTTATTTTATTCAATTTGTATACCGCCCTTCTCCTAGTGGACTCAGGGCGGTGCACAGCCAAAACTAAAAGACATAACAATACAAAATTTAAAATTATTAAAAGAATTATATACTTTGGCCCAATTATAAAACAATTCGAATTGAAACCCATTTACAGATTAAAAGCTAAACAACTAAAAAACTAAAAAGGGGGGGGGTTATCCCTCCTTTATTAACTCAAGACGGTGCACATACCCAATACTCCTTCCTCCTCCTCTTTTCCCCACAATAAGAATCCTGTGAGATAGGTTGGGCTGATCTCACTGCTTTCAAAGGGACATGTTCAAACATGTACTTTACCTATCCAGTGATGGAGATGGCAATGTAGTAGACATTGACCCCTAGTCTTGCATTATCCCCTCTTTTAAAAGAATGCTTTGATTAATTTAGTGTCTTCTTCTCTTTTCAGAGTGGAGAAATGGAGATCCACAACCCTCTCTTCGACACCTCCACCCTCCACCGATGTCCCCCCTAATTACCCTCCTGTTTTTCTTCCTTCCTTCATCTTATCTTGTCATCTTCTGGATCCACGTAGGAAAGATTCAAACTTACAAACACCCCCAAGGTGCCGTCTGTCTGTCCTCTTCCTTTGAGGGGAAATCATATCCATCCCACCTATTCCTATATCCTCTCATGCTAATACTACGGGAATGCTTTCAGGCTTTTAGGAGATTTTCTATCATAGCTTTGCTTCAGTTGAAGGTCTTCTGACAATGAACTTTTATCCTGGAAGTTACTATTATCGTTTGGAGATCTTGATTCAAGCTCTCCTAATGCCATCAACTCAACTTGAACTGGAAGGGTTTATTATTGTATCCAATCTAGCTGTGGAGATTTAAGGAGCAGAAGACTTCATTTGTCATGTACCAAAAGAGAATGGAGAGGCACGTTTAGAGGACTAAGATTGACCCAAAGCATTTTGCTCATCAGTGGTGTCCACTCTTTCCGGGACGATATATATATATATACATAGTGTATATAATATACAAGCTAGTCAATTTGTCGTGTCACCGGAGGCGGAAAATCCCATAAAACACCTCTCCTCGGCAATAATAATATTAATAAGAGCAACAGTATATAATTTGCTACATTTTCATGATGATAACTTAAGTCTCCTGTCTCGCTTTGCTCCATGGTTGGAATAGACCTTGTCCCACCCCAGCTCCATATGTCATCTGGGTGCTGTTGCTGGATAGATATAATTTTAAATGAAAAAAAATGCACACTTCTATCTGAGGCCACCTGTTAAGCATCGGGGAGATCAGGAGCTTCAGGCAGTTCAAATGAATATAAAGATTTATTGCAAGCTTAAGTTCTTGAGAAAAATCTGGCCAAATGACCATTAAGAGAGTTAAGAAAGGAATTCAAGGTAGGTTGGACTTAAATCTCTTGCAGGCACAAAGGAACTCGTGACTTATGATGGTTTGACCCCTCCCTCGGGCTCAGCCTGGTCATCCCCTACACCATCACTCCTTCTAGAATGAGTTTTGCAAGTTCCTTCTAGAATGAGCTTGCAAGTTCAACAAAGCTGGGGCTAGGGACCTGATGGTGTTTTTTATTTATGTATGTATTTATAAAACCATGCTGTTATTTTTAAGAGTCTTAAGCAATGAATAATGCTAAAATATTCCATTGCAACCCAGCGGCCAAAACGTACGAAAAGCAAGGTCTTGGGGGAGATTCACCATTCCTGAAGTTCTCTCCACTCATCCTTGAGCCAGCTGAAACTGATGTTGCTTTTCCCTTCCTGGTATTTTTCTCCTCTTCAACTATTTGACAATCACAGAGTGAGGCGGCAGATGCCCTGTGTGGATTGGATATCATGCACTCTATATAATAACATGTGTTAGCCATCCAAATCTTGCTTGTTTATGGCTTCCGCTGCAGGACCTGACTTATCTTAGACGTTGGAGTCATTGATCACAAGACCAAGAGATCACACTAGTCTTCTCTACTTGGATGATTTTTCATAGGTGGATTTGTTTGTGGCAAACAAGATTTTGGGATTGTATATAAAGGAAGGAGAGGGAAGAGCAATAAGATGTTTCTGTAGAGAGCTTCTCTTTCGGGACTGCAGACAAACTCCCAAAAGTTTGTCATAGAGACAAGATGCTCATTGAATATCACCCCATCCTCAACACACAGACCTAATCTCTCCCGTTGTGTGTCAATGTGCTGTTTTTTCCTATTATTATTATTATTTTCATCTACTGAAGTCAGTGGTCAAGTCAAAAGGAGGATTTGGGGGAATCCAAAACGCTGAAAGAACTTTTTTTTTAACAGATTCATATTTCTGCCTTAAAATGATCCTTTGATAGTTTCAAATTCATACTTCAGATGCGTAAATCCTGGGCAATTGAATCCCCTTCCCCTTGGCTAGAAAGCAGCTCTCATTTGCATGAAAGGCTCGATATGAGAGGCCCACGGATGTGTTTTGGGGTCCCTGCCTCACTTTGTTGCAACTTGGTGAGAATCGAGGAACAGAGCACTTAAGATACTCTAGATCAGCGGTCCCCAAGCTTTTCGGCTTGGCGGCTCAGAAGGGGGAGAGGATGGTTTTGTGTGAGCGACAGGCACACGTGTGCAGCTCAGGGGTGAAATCTACTTACCTTCTCTACCGGTTCGGAAATGTACGTGCTGCGCAAGCACAAACCCTTCTGAGCCTGCGCAGAGGGTAAAAAACAGGTTACTTCCTGGGTAAAACCAGGAAGTAACGGTGACCGGGCGGGTGGGCGGAGCCTCACGCTGCCATCGCTACCGATTCTCTGAACCACCCACCGCCATCGCTACCAGTTCAGCTGAACCAATCCGAACTGGTAGCATGTCACCCCTGGTGCAACTCCATTTGCACACGCGGCAGGTGCAAACACAAATTGAGTGCTACCTGTGAGCACGAGTGCCTGTTGCTGGTGCAAATGGAGTTGCGCGCACTCGTCCATTGCTTGTGTAACCCGGTTCAAAATGGAATGCAGCCCGGTAATGGGCTGCAACCTGGGAGTTGGGGACCCCTGTCTTAGATGGTATAGTATCAGATACTGTGTTTCCCCAAAAATAAGCCCTCCCCCGAAAATAAGCTCTCCCCGAAAATATTTAAATGCATGCACAGCCGGTCCCCACCATTTCCTCTGGTTAGGGTTAGGGAGACAGAGCTGGAAATCAGGTAAGAGGGCAAGAGGAACCCCGTCTTGCTCCACATGCCCCAAAATAATAAGACCTTCCCAAAAATAAGGCCAAGCACTTATTTTGGGGTTCAAAAAAATATAAGTCAGAGTCTTATTTTGGGGGAAACACAGTATTATAGTATATTTTTCATCCCCAAAGGCCTAAATAGCACTTGAACGGTTTGTTTAAATAGGTTGTACTTCTACATAGGTTGATGCCCAATTGGGCACCTTCCTTTCAACCGGTATTATGTTGAACCTTGATCAATCAAGGGGAGCTGCACCATCACCCCACGGCTGCCTCAGGGCAGGCATGAAATCGGCTCATCTCCTGGTGGGTTGCATGCATGATCACAGATCTCTTTTCCATGTGTGCAAACACACACACCAGTGTATGCTTGTGGAATGAAAAACTGCTGGGTAGCTTGCATGGCCTCTACATACAACACCTCAATGCGCACGGGTGTATATACACACACACACACACACTCCTGTATCAGGTTCTAGTTGAATCCCCCCCTCCTGCAAGCTAATGTGTAAATGTAGAAAAGCCGTTCTATATTAGAGAAGCATGAGCCTATTTTTGAGAAGCAGTGTGATCATGTGTCATAGTGGGAATCCTCTTAACCCGTAGCATGTTCCTTCCTGTCTTTAAAAAAAGGCCGCCTCTTCCCTGAGAGAAAGGGGAGGTATACAAGACCTTCTAATTTGCTATTTTAAACAACAGCATTGTAGTCTTATACCTGTCTTGTGAATGGGCTCACCATTTCTCCTTCCTGATCCACTAATTTGGACCTAGATTGTGTCCGCAGATATGGGCACACCATATACATTCGGTGTTGCAGACAAACTTGTTTCGGAGTTTTTATTCCTCCTTATTCTTACAGAACTAAGCCATATGGGCGATGGGGGGGGGATATGAAATTCAATTGCAAATGAGGAATAGTTGTTATTCTAGATGGGGGCAGGCCTGACAATGTTGGATCCTCTGGATAGCTACATTTCTCAACCTTAGCAACTGATGGGTGGACTTCAACTCCCAGAATTCCTCAGCCAGGCTGGGGAATTCTGGAAGTTGAAGCCCACCCATCTGTTGCTAAAGGTGAGAAACACTGTTTTACACATAGCCTCTTCATAAACGAATGGGCATGGCTGGCTGGGGAATTCTGGAAGTTGGAAGTCCACACATCTTAAAGTTACCAAGTTTGAAAAACACTGGTTTGTGCCTTTAAAGGTCTTTTTCCCCTGGAAATTCACTTGTAAATTTGCCTTCAGGCCAAAAAAATAAAAATACATAAATAGGATGTTCCCCTTTAATTTTGGCTTAATGTAGGGTTGCTGGAATTAAGCTGCAAAAATATTCATGCCTACTAGAAGACAGAAAACCTCTCTTCGCCGTGTTCATTTGAATTGAGCGGCACCGATTCCATATATTATGTGAACCATGATCGTTTTTAAAGCCTAACGTGTGGCTTTGTGTAATCCTAACCCATTGGGTTTTGCTCAAGAAACCAGGATGAGACAAAGCACAGCTTAGCAACTGAATGGAGTTGAACTAATAGCAATAATTTACAATGTGTTTCTGCTGCTGGTATCAATGGTTATGAGGTTTTATCAATGGTTGAGGTTTTATTCCTCTCCATTGAGGGAGAAATGCAGGGGGTTGCTTGCCACAAGGTGCCTCAAATTGATGTAGAATGGCACAGGACGAGGCAGCAGATGGGAGAAAACTACTACCCAATGTCATCCACTTCAATTTATCAAGTCCTGTTTTGACTCATCCAAGCTGGTAAAGAATTGTCATGTGCCAGACAGGGGGGGATTAAACTAAAGACAAATCTTCCTGAATATGGCATTTCTATCATGGAATAGATCTACTGAAAATGCCCCATGGGTTGATGGAAGTCGTGGTCCAGCCAATCTAAGAAGTATCGCCTTGAAGCAAGGGTCCCCAAACTTGGCAGCTTTAAGACTTGGGGACTTCAACTCCCAGAATTCTCCAGCCAGCATAGCTAGAGAATTAGCATAGCATAGCTGGCTGGAGAATTCTGGGGGTTCTTAAAGTCTTAAAGCTGCCAAGTTTGGAGATCTCTGTCTTGTAGAAGGGTGGAGAGGTTTCCTGGATAAATGTGCACCTTTAAGATTTGCTGGGTAATTAAATCGAACAGTCATTGGGTAGAATATGGAAATAAAAGGGCAACTAAGACCATTCAGGAGAGAGAATAAAAGGTGAATAGCCAATACTGGCTCTCAGTAATAAGTCACAATAAAAGGGCGGGGAATTATGTGTAGGTTAATTGTATGTATACTTTTGTATTAAGAAGCTCAGCTGAACCTGATAGATCACAGTTCTGAGTAAATCTAGTAGAAATGCAAAACTTTGGGGATCTTTGAAGGACAATTTACCCTCCATTTATTTATTTTATACGTTAGCTTTATATTGTCCCTTTTCTTGAGAAGGGTAAGACATATAGTAATGTTTCCTCCTCCAGTTTTCCCCCCAAAATGCCACCACCACCACCCCACTGGAACAGCTTTGCTTCCAGAATTTGTGGATGCTGCAACATTGGAAGTACTCAAGAAGAGATTGGACAGCCATTTGTCTGAAATGGGATACTAAAAAGGTTTCCTGCCTGAGCAGGGGGTTGGACTAGAAGACCTCCAAGGTCCCTTCCAACTCTGTTATTCTGTTAAATTGTAAGAGAATGATTGGCCTGGAAGTCATCCAGGAAGCTTTGCGGCTGAAAGGGAATTAGAATCTCCCTACTTCTAGCTCAATGCCTTCACCATGTTGGCTGATTTAACTTAATGAAAATATAATTAATATGAAATTAAAAATTATTATTTTGGAGACCTGAGGAGATACCTTAATAAAGGTAGCTAACGTGAGTTACTAGAAAGTTATTGTTGACTTCTTTTCCATCTCTTAAAACATCTAGTCTCTTAGATGAGGAGGTTTGATGACTCTTCATTCAGGAACATGTGTGCACAAATATTTCCATGTGTGGAACAGGGGAACCATTTTTCACCAGCCAAAGAGCAGATAAACTCTGATCACACGTGGGCTGTGTTTCGTATGTCATGTTAAACTGGAATCCTATCTTGTGGATGAATTTAATCTCCTTACCTTGGCATTTCCTGCATTAAACCGACTACACAAGCTTCCTCTGAAGTTAATGTTTAGCTTCTGTCTACTCCCGAACAAGCCAGAGTTGGAAGCTGAGAAGAAGAATGTACAAAATGATCATATCAGCTACTCCAAAATTCTGGTTTAGCATAATTTAGCCATGCCAAAACAAAATAGGTTATGCCCTAGCATGATGTCCCAAAATAGCTTATTGTGGTTTGCAGACTATAACATATATTTTAGTGTGTTGTGCCAAACCAAACAATTGTAATTTTTCCAACAAACTGCAGTTAAATAAACCATGACATAGCACAATTTGTCAGGTAATTACATTATTCTATTGTTTCTTGGGGGGGGGGAAATAATGCTTACTGTGATTCAGAGGGTGGTTTCAACAGGTTCTGACCAGTTCTGGAGAACCGGTAGTGGAAATTTGGAGTAGTTCGGAGAACCGGTAAATATCACCTCTGACTGGCCCCACCCCCATCTATTCTCTGCCTCCTGAGTCTCAGCTGATCGGGAGGAAATTGGGGATTTTGCAGTAACCTTCCCCTGGATTGGGGAGGGAATGGAGATTTTACAGTATCCTTCCCCTGCCATGCCCACCAAGCCATGCCACACCCACAGAACCAATAGTAAAAAAATTTGAAACCCACGACAGGTCCAGACCTACCAACGTTGTGTCATTCCCCAATAATGCAGCAAAGAGGCGAGAGGTTAAAAGTGTTAAGTGTGACTCTTGACCGTCAAAACATTGCTGTTCCTACACTAGGCATGTTCAGACAAATTTGGTCATCTTCTAGGGATGGTGCAATTTTTTACCCTCCTTAGTTATTTCTTGGAGAGAGACCCAGATGTCAAAACATTTCTA